TTGGTTGAAGTGTTGGACAACATGGGAGTCTTTTTCAGTGTTAATAGAGTACTTATGGATGTTTAAATGTTCTCTGAGACCCGTTTGGGCCTGTTCTTTTTTACTGGTGTTTGTATTTTTCATACTGTATGAGTTAAGTGGTGTCGTGCAAGTACTAATATTGTGCTACAAATCCTATGACAGTAGCTAACACATCTTACTCTTTAACCTAGATTCATTACTCCCATTACTATCTAGTTGTTGCACAGACTTAGCTCGAGATTTCCAATAGGGAAAGAAACAGGGGCGAGACTGCAAGAACTGGTTCCTAAACACACGAGCTGACTCAGGTTATTGGACTTGAAACCCTGACTACTGACCATGAGAATCTGCTAACACTTACATCGCTTCTTCCTTGGCATTTTTTCCAGATGTAAGTGTTTACTTTCTGCCTTTAGCAGTTTACTCACAGCGTGCATTTTCATACATCTTTGACTGCACCTTGAATTAAAATAATAGTAAGTGAAACTGTTTGCTAATAAAGTATTTAAAATTGCGTGACTGAAAATATTTTTTCTATCATAGCTACTGATAATTTCACCTACTCAATTATATTTCGATTCTATCCAATCAGTAATCACAGTTAACTTCACATCACAAATTCTTAGCACTTAGATCAAAGTTGCTATTTTCATTCAAATGTTATATAACAGTATTTGTGTGTGTGTGTAATTGATCCCTTTGTGTACAACTAACTCCTTGTAATGTTCATACTTGTATTTAACACCACACACATATATTTATTTATACATATGTGACTGTTATACATTGTCACATACATTAGTAGCTTATAACAGATTGCCTCTGGCGCACATACAAATTACTTTGGCAGCCATTTTGGATTACCTTCCACAAGTTATGTTTCAATAAATGTAATCTGTAATACACTGCCATCTACAAACCATCACACCCAACAGGCTTGTTTTTTCAGGCATCATAAAACAAACTATCATTAGCAGAATTCAGCTAAACTAAGACTTTTCAGCTAGATTTCTCATCAACCAGAATTAACATTATGCTGTTATTACAATATATGTATATGTGTGTGTCCATACCGATAACGGTAATGCGATATATATATATATACATAGGAAACACAACTCCCTTTTAGCATATGGAGAAGCTACAAACAATTAAGTGTTCAGCAGAGAATTTAATAAAGATCATGTGTATACCCTGTGTAATTGCACCACTCAGTGAGATCGAGTGAGTAATTCTCTCAATACATCAGATGATGCTTTGTGTCAGAAGATCACTCAGTAGCTTGGAAAACATGTCACAATCTCCTTTCACTCATTGATTTTCCAACCACTCAGCCATCCCATCTTATGATAACCATTCAGCTATCACTTGATATCCTGCAGATATCTAATAATGAAATACTGTTCAACAGCTCAGAAAATTCTTTCTTCCTGACAATCACTATTGAAAATTACTGCACTCTCTGAAGGTAGTATCATCCTACTCTTTAACATCTGCTCTATCTCAGCACTGGTTATAATTCTAAAATACAAGGAAGCCGGGGTGGTAGTTGCTTAATTAGATGGGCATTCCTACATCTAGTCCCACAAGTACATTACCATATTTAACCAACAGATCATTTACCACTTGCCACTAAATTTAGTTCTCACTGTTTGTGCAATTCTCAGCCAGTGACCTCAGAAGAGGTGGTAGCCAAGAACTTGCTCACAGATAGTATGCGAGAGACGTGACTTTAGCATTGTTGATAGCCTTGGTCACCGCCATTTTGCTTGTCATTATTATAATATCATTCTAGCGAGAAGCTGGATAGCTTATAGACTATTATTGGGAATGCATCCCTACCCTGACAGATCACTGCTTGAGCTTATGCTGTCTGCTTTCTGTACAAGAAACAGCATATGTTACGTATTGACTCCTCACTGTACCAATGCACTCAAAATCATGTTTAGTAAACCATGGAACACAACCTGTGTAGATGGAGATATTGTGACTCCTTCTGTGATGTACATAGTTGGAGATGTGTTTCTCCAGTCTCATATACCTTGTCAAAATTCACTATGATGAAATCGGGGTTAATTGGCTGGAGTGGGGACTTTTAACCCAGAACGTTTGATACACAGTGATGTCTTCCAGTGTTCTGTATCAACCAAGAACTCCACCTCTTACCATTGTATCTTTATAGGCTTGTACCAAGTTCCACCCTAACATGGTAGATCTGAGCTGCTTACCACATCCTGCAGTGCATAATGTTCACTGTTCCTTCCTGAGTTGATGGCCAACCATCACTCAGGCTCTGCTGTTTTTCCAGAGTAGAAGTAGCAGGTTTATTTAATGTACATAGGCATATATTTTAATAGAGCATTTCTGTGTATAATTGTGTATACGTTGTTATATTTGTACAGGGTTTTATGGTGGTGTATGAGTTTGTAAGAGGTTATGTTTTGTTTTGTATATAATTTGTATTTATGCTCATTTAATGGTGCACTTTTACGTACATACTTAGATATGTATTTAGTGTAACAGATTTTCTTTTATCACGTGAGAAGTTTTTGGTTTTTATGTGGCATGCTTTCATTTTTGTTCTTTTTTTGTTGCCATTGTGTCTTGCATTGTGAATGGTTTGTTCTTTTAATGTATATGTATTTTCTGAAGGGTTTATTTTGTATGTGTAAAACATATTTTAGGTATATAAAGGTATTTTATTTTTTATTTGTTATGTACTTTTCATGATTTTTGTAAGGGATTTATTTTGTATCTTAATTTGTATATGTTCTGTTCATTGGTTGTAAAGGGTTTCATTTTAAGGCATTTTGAGTGTGTTTGTCATAATGAAAGGGGTTCATTTTTGTATTTGTTTATCTTTGTTAAAGATGTAAGTTTTGTATATTTATATTATTTAAAAAAAGATATTTTCCTTCTTTTGTATGTGGGTTCCCTTATAGCAAAACCACATCGGGTTATCTGCTGTATCCTCGGAGGGAATCGAGTCCCCGATTTTGGGGCTGTAAATCCGAAGGCTTACCGCTGTCTCACCGGGGGACATTTTTCACTACACACAAAAACAATATGTTTTCTAACCACACAAAAGTGCACCATTTCAGTCAGACTAGAATACCAAAAAGCTGTAATGGTAACATGTTCGAACTATGGGTATTTTGTGACTTTTGTTGGGTGAATATGAATGCAACAAGATGATATGACTGTATTCAGTTATAGAGCTTTACGTACAAGCAGTGAAAAGTAGAATGATGAAGCACTTGGAACGTTTTGCTAACTGTCATGTTCAACTTATTTGTGTAGTAGAGCAAATAAACTTAATTCTCTTATCATGTTTTCTGGTAAAAGTGAAGACTAGCGCTATAAACAGAAAAAACAAAAACAAACTTGCATACATTGTCCTCTTTCTTTTCTTTTGTTTGAACCAGAGAAATGGAAAAACTTAATCAGTCTTTCACGAGTAAAGATATTTAAAAATTTGTTTTGCTATTACTTTCATGTTTCACCTTTATAATATAACTACCAAATTATTAATGCATTACGAACATATCACTCGTGAGAGCATTATTACCTCTTCTCTAAAATCGAATAATGTGCTTATGTGAAGAGGAATATATATATATAAATATATCACTTCTTGATAGTAGAGTATTATGTCAGGTACATGGATGTATTTCTCAAAGTCACACAAAAAATGTTTTCATAACTTTTACCAGGTAAAAGTTTAACCTTGTGGTCTTTTGAATGACCAATTTTTCTGAAGAATGTGAAAGTAAAATACAATAAATGAAAGGCAAGTTTTCGACTAGCTTTCTATCTATTAGGAAAACATCCAAACTTTCAAATAAAGTGAAAATAAAAAAGTATTTTTATCTCCCTCTATTAGTAAAGATTGAACTACATTCTCCTTAACAAATGCTGTACTATGAATGAAGGAGACACTAAACAAAAGCCGAAACTAAACAATCAGCAAATTAAATTAAATGTTCTTCTTTTATAAAGTAGAGCGTGTCCCACAAATCAATTGCCATGCAGGCTTCCTTGGAACACTAGGTATACAGCTAGCAGTCAGATAAATTGGATGCTTAAAAACAGAATCATTCAATTTTCAGAGTGTTTGCTCAACATCGCTAGGTATTGTATGAAAAAAGGAAAGTAATCAAGGTTCTGTGTGGACTTCAGGCAGGTGGACGCAGTCACACTCATTAACACATTTCTGGTGTGCATAGACAAATGACTTGGTGCATTGGAAGAATCCCACTGGTTTAATTCATTATATCTTGCATCTAGCTACTAGCAAACCGCGCTAGAAGATTGCAGCAAAGCTAGAACTGCTTTCAGCACTCAAGAAAGCTTGTAAAAATTTCGTGTCATACTATTCGGCCTCTTTAACATACCGTCTAAGTTTCAGTGGTACCTAATTTATGTAACAATATTTTGGCATTTTCTTTCATATTTGAGAAAATGTACTTATGGCATTTGAGCATTTATGATAAGCAGGTCTCAAACCGAAACCAATGAAAATTTTCTATCATGTGGACCTGAAGAGTTTCTCGAAATATCGTAAGTAGAAATGGAGTGTCCACATATTCTGCTCAAATCCAGACAATGGTAAACCGGCTCAAACCTACAAAAACAAAAAAAAAGGAAGTCCAAAGCTTTGTTGGTGTTCCGTCATATTATAAGACGTTTTGTGGTCAGTTTTTCTAGAATAACAGCACCATTGTCAGCATTAATTGTTTGGAGCAGCGTGTAAGGAATTGAAATTTGTCACACGTGTGAAACCGTGTATATTATTTATCTTGCGACTGTGACTTCCACGAACCTTTTTTTAACTGTCTGGTACTATTTTAACGTGTAATTTTTAGAATGCAGGTTCTTCGTATTGTAATATTACTTAGAGTTATTTTGCTATAAAGGTGATTGAAGATAATTACCAATAAAGGATTAGTATTGTGTAGATGGCGTATTATATAATGGGTAGTATTATCATTTTTCGTTTTTGCTGTTGGGTTTTCTACGAAGGTAAATTCCAATTTCTCACGTAATAATGAAATATGTATTACTTTATCTTTACCACAAAAACACGATTGAGATATGTCATAGTGCTTCTCTTGTTGGTTATGATAAAGAAAAAAGGCCATTAATTGATAACGATGCAATTGTTAATGTGAAGTGGGTCGGTGAAGGAAACGGTGACTCTAAGCCTATTCAGGCTGTTGACAATAGACTGAATAGTATTGTGAGTAATGTTAATATTGAAAATAAAATTAAAAATGAAGAATGTGTAGACATAAGTGAGATAGGCCTTTTAAGGCCTGAAGTACATCTTCGGGTGGATGACGAAATTTGTGAAAATGAAGATGATATAAGAACATATCCAGCTAAAGTAATAGCATTTGCGGGTAAGCGTAGACTTTTAAGTTTCCTGTATATTAAATGAATTATTATTATAACTATTATTAAAATAAATTATAGTGTTTTGTTCAGCAATAGTAGCGAACTTTATTTAAGAGATCATATCTGTTAGTGTTAATATTCTGATACTTAGTCTCTCTCCCCAAAACTTTGAGAGGCAGTTATTTTAAATAGCTACATCCTTTTCTTTTTTTTGCCGCATTTATTGTTCAAAGAGAGATGCAGGATATCCTAGAATATTCTTGAAATTTTAAGTTATTAGGCTATATATTTTCTCATGTTTGCATTACTAGAACAAAAGAATGAATAACACAAACAATCGACAGATAATGAAAGGTCATTTCATAATGTGAGCCCAACATTTTCATTGGAATTGGTAGGTTTTGAATAATATTACAGGCAACTTTAACATAAGATACAGATAACAAAGTACCATCTGGTCTATCAAGGCTGTCCTTGCTCACCCACCCTTGATAAAAGTAGAACTTTAAACCCACCTTTTATTCAGGATGTTATTGATCCCCTCTTAAAACTCCTGTAAAGTGCTGGTCTGTTTGACTGCTGATGACAACTCACACATTTTGTTTAGGTAGTTTTTACATATAAATAACTCTCAATTGTTGTTTTGTTAGGAATGGAGTGAAAAATGTCACTGAGATTGGAGGGGGGGGGGCAAGAAAAAATGGAAAACAAATTTTACACAATATTCCATTAAACTTCTCACATGTAAGAAACATGTATTAAGTTAATACTTTAGACACAACAGAGAAGGAGCTTTTATACATACAGTAAGTTTGTTTCTAACTAATAGTATACTGCACAACATAAGGTTTTGGTTACTGCAGTGTTACGTGTGTTATTTTAATTTGTACATGTACTTGTAGACTAAAGTTGCATTTAGTTATTTTCATTATCTGTATATCATATATTACATGATTAATATGCTGTCATTCTGTGGTTAACATATATTTCTTAAAAACCAGTTATTTTTAATAAATATTAACTGTTGTAAAATCAATATTTATTCCAAATTAATTAATGCTAATAGTACGATGACGAGGAACCCATCTTGAGACTAATAATGCTTGGAGATGGCTTGAATGGGTAATGATGATGACAAAACCTACTAGTGCTAATAGTGTTATACAACTCATGAAAGGAAAATGCTTACTTAATATTTTTCAGCACTGTTTTGATGTTATTAAATTTCAGAATCGATCACTAAATTTCATTGCTTAATTTTTGGTCATTTAAAGTTTTTTTCCTCCTGTTTGTTATATGGCATACCCAAAGTATTTTAATTCATGTTATTACTTTATAGTCAATGTAAATGACAAAAAAACCAAGGTATGGTTTTTACAGTAGTTTATCATCCACTTTAAATTAATACAGTATATAATGAACACTACATAATTTCATTTGTAGGAAGTCATAATTTTGTATGTAATTCCATTTTTGTTTTTAAAGTTATTAGTGTTTTTTATTTGCAAAATTAATTGCATATCATGAACTCTATCTAAGCTAGTAGGTGTACATAATCAGTTGTCACTATCAGTATTATGGAATACTAGATCACCGTTTTTTTTTTCTTCAGACACAAGAGAAGAGTTGCTTCATGTAAATCTTCCAGAACCTGCTTTGGAAGGAACCTCTCTGACTTGCAAGTCTGAATTTAGAAATGAAAGAAGGAAGCAACTTGAGAATAACATTTATATTACACCAGACAAAAGTGTTATTGAAACTATTAAAATACCAGAGGTGCATAGTAGACTATTAGTAGTAGAGAGATTTTGTTTCATTGGTTTTAATTTGAGTTCTGGAACTTCACTAATTAGCTACAACTGTCACACTGGAATTTTATTACTTTTAAATACAGAATTGTATTTTAATTTTAAAATGTGTAGTAAAATAATAAAGAAAAGTCATAAGCAATTAATTATAGTTTTAAGGCTTTTTATATTTGAGGATGCACTCCAGTTTTTTTTTAATAAAAATTATTGGTGTGAAACAGATTTTACTTTATGAAAGTGGCTGCAGTTTCTCCTCAAGCCATATGTAATGGTTAAAAAGTTTGAAAGTATTTATATTTCTGATATGGACCATTGTCAGAGGTAACAGAACAATGTATGTATCTTGGTGTAAGGTAAGAGAATGCACTTTACCAATAAATCAACATCATTTTGATCTTTGATAATATTCAACTTACACTTTTATCTATAAAACAATAGCTTCACACTTTAGTGATTTGGTACCTTGTTAGGCTTCCTTTTTAAGTAGGAATGTCTGGTGTGTCAGGTCAGTAAAAGAGCACCATCTGCTTTCTGTTCAATCATTATTATCCCTGCCCCAAACTGGGGTCAAAACACTGGCCTTTTAGAACAATGGGATTATCCTGCCAGATTAACACGCATTAAGAAAAGCCAAAATATAATGAAACAAAATGTTTTGTCAAAAATATTTAGACCAAAGATTACTATTGCAGGCCATAATAATGAGCCAAAATTCAGGGCTTGTGGATAAATGGCCCACTTGGTTATATTTAAAAAAATAAAGGCCTGTAGTATAGTAACCTAGTTCTTTTAATTAATAAATATTTCATATTTTTTCATTATTAAGTTTCTTATTTCTGCAACTGAAATATAAGAGAGAAAATATTTTTGTTTACTACTAGAAATTAAGAATAAAACAAAATTGATATTAATTCTAAAGATACATGAAGAACAATTATCAATTAGTATTTTAAATTGAACAAAGCAGTTATATAAATTTTTATTTTATTATAAACTTTTCAAATTTATTGTTACAATAAGAGTTGGTTGTGATTACTTCAAATAAAAGAAACAAATGCTCTTCCAAAACAGTAATGGCTTGTAATTATGTTATTTTTAAAACACTCAGCTAACATTTTTAACATAAATTTTATTATTTAATTGACTCATTCAACATCATATATACATTTTATACATGTAAAGTGCTGCCACTTTTTATAATACTGTATAATTATTGCTACATTTTCTAAGTTTGTTTAGTTAAGCACATGTTGTAGTAATGCTGGACTAAAATTATAACGTTAAGGTTTACATAAAATTATAGTGAGTAGTCCATGGTCGTGTATTGAAGATAGTGTGTTCTTGACTAAAGATATGTTAGTATTTTAATTTATTTTGTTGTCATTAGTCAATATTTATTTATGCTGTGTTGTACACTGACTAGCTCCTTTGTTTTAATTCCCACCTAACAGTGAGTGGGACCACCTTTTATAATGATAATAGCCAGGACCTAGCTGTACAAAATGGTGGAAGATGAATTGCTCGATTGTAGACCATTGCACGAAGTATATGTTAGCAGATGCATATTATTACACTGACAAATGCAACATTCAAGCTCATCCCAAAGTTGTCAGTCAGATAGAGATCTGGTTATTACAGTGTTCAAGAAAAAGACGACTCAAGTTACTTTCATGCTTTTTAAATTACCTTCAGACAATTTGAGCCTAATGGATTGTTGAAAAAAGAAACTTTTGTCCATCAGGATGGAAATGCAGCATTGTGAAGTAGACATGATCAATAAAAGTATTTATGTTTGCTCTCGATGTTACTTGCCTTCCTAAATAATTCTAAGGACCAAATCCCTAGAACAAAAAACATTTTCATATCATATAGTGTTAGTTATGTCAAGTTGATTTAACTGTATAAGAAATCTATCAATTGATTGTGACACATTAATGGTTTCCATTAGCCTTTCATTAGCAGTCGGCCATAGTCTTTCTTAGTGGCATATATTTTTACATTATATTGCCACTGTTAACAGTCTTTGATCACAGATGTCTTTGGACAACCAGTAAAAAGAAGTTTGTTGATAACACACTTCCCAGATTGGTACTCACTATCATACCTCGAAAAGTCAGAGGGATTCATGCTCTTACCATCATGCTGTTATTACATCCCAATATTTATAGGACTCAAACAATTACGTGATAAGTGTATCTTACACTTACAAATAAATGGTATCTTTAACAAGTTTGTTTCATGGGAGTTATAAGATGGCCAATCAGTGTCATTGAATATCTCTATGTTTGAGGCTTTGTAATTTGGACCCTTTTAAAAGGTTTAATACAAATAAAATTAAGTTTACTTAATAGCATCTAAGAATATTGAGTGATTGAAATTATGAAATTTTTTTCCTTAAATAACACTGTACATTTATCATGCTAATATTAGTCACAAAATAATTAGTAGATATAATTCTATTTATAAAGGAAATGGCACATAGTATTTTTAATGATTTAGATATGAGGTACAACATAAATTTTTCATTTACATAAAAATGTTCCTCGCTTTACATTAAAATGCTTTTCTTTAATAAGTGGTATGTTACTTTCATATCACTTAGGCTTAATGTGAAATAAAATCTCATTTACAGATATAATCGTAATTAGTTTTGCATAATGAAATTGTAAATTTTCTGATACAAAAGTATATAAAACTTTAAGAAGCTGCATATATATTGTGTTAATACAGGGTAGATAGTTAATGCACTTCCTTGATTTATATATATGCATCAGGAAAATATATAAATATTTAGGTAATTGAGAGGACAATTAGAACCAGACCTGAAGTTTGTGTTCAGTTTGTAAACAGCTGTATGAAATCATAACCTGATCATTATCTATTTCAAGCTTGTTCTTACTGTTGTAATAACTTTTCTTATTGTAGGTTGCAACAATCAAAATAAAGAAGGAAATTACATGTTTGTCATCTTCAAGTGAAAGTGAAGAAAATTGTGAAGAGAAATTAAAACAAGAAAACTTTTTCAGTATAGAAAATGAAGAGTTGAAACAAGTAGCAAGTGATCTGGATAGTAAAATTAGCACTAGTACATGTAAGTGTTATATTTCAGTCCATATGATGTTAATGATATACATTATGTGACAATTTTAAATTATTACATTTACCCTTTGCTAGACCAGCATCTATGTGTATTCCACAAAGAAAAGGTATTTATCAATAATACCACACTTCAGTTTAACTTATAAACAAACAATACTTCCAACACTGTTTATAGACATTTTTTATCTATTTATGAATAGGTTGATAATACTTACTAAATTATAAGTATAAAATATTGAATAAATATAAATTTTGAACTAAAAATGTTTGACTTTTGTAGATTTTTCTTTTATCACATCATATTATATTCATCTCTAACAGTTTAAGAAACCACCAATGAAGAGTTGAGTAAAAATAGGAATTTATCATATTGGTTCTTCACTCTTGGCTTCCTTTTCAAACACTATCCTCTAGTAGTGTTCTCTTTATGTACCTCATACTTTTTCCATCACCTGCAGCTAAATATAGTACCAATTCTGTAGCTAAGAGTAGGGGCTCTTATTAATATTGCTTTAACTGAATTGTCCACTTGTCATAATCTATGCACTTGTAATCTGCAGTAATAATGGTTTGGTTTAATAATATGTTGGTTGAAGTAATATCAATTTAAATATTTTTGTATTAAGTTACTAATTTGTGTTTGGTATAGTCTAATTTCTCTTTTAGAAAACTAACTTGTTTTGTTTCAAAATGTTGGACAGGTAATCAGGCAGGCAGTAGCACTGCCTATGTAGGAATGTCATGGATTGTTCATTGAAATGAATTTTAAATATTTCCTCAATAGGTCATTAGAACTTTACAATACTATACAGTGTTTCCTTTTATAACAATATCTGTATAATAACTGAGTCGCAAATTCTGGGAATGTCTGTAAATATCATAGCAAAAAGTTTAAATTTCTTGTTCTTCTTTTTTTTTTATCACATGATAACTCAAAAACCAAAACAGTGGTGGCAATCAATTTCACTGAGGTGACATAGTTTCAAACAGAGTATCCACTTTTATAATTATTATTATTATCTAGAAGTAATTTAAAAAAAATCATAATTCTAGTGTAAACAATGTTATCATTACCCCTCAAAGTTAGCTTTCTTACAGAAATTTGGTGTTCCTTTAAAAAGCTGAAGTACAGGGTGAAACAGGAATTACCAGCCAATAATAGATAAACAGTAAATATTACAGTTGGAACCTCATTGTATTTAGAACTTGGTTATAAATACAACCTTCCTATGTCTGTTGAAACACTGCATTAAAAATATAAGCAAACAAGTAAAGGAAAAACTTTTCAAAAAAAGGAAGTAAATGTAAGGATGGCTATTATTAATCCTTCAGAAACAATGCAAACACAATAGCAGGGATAGCATTTGCATTATCCTTGCATAATAGCACAGGAAAGAATTAACATATAGCAATATATATAACTATTCACTCACAATTGAGTTTAATTTATCCTATTTTTGTCTGCTAACTCTTTCCAGACGGGTCACAGGTGAAAGGCCATGTCATCGAGTTTGTTGACTCGCATTCCAAACTTTATTGAACTACTATTTCATGAATTTATGTCAATAAGTTTGGTATCAAACTGTAGATTATAATTCAAATTTTAGTAGTATACC